TTAAAAAAAAAAAAACCACAAAAAACAACAAAACCCACAAAAAAACCAAAAAAACCAAAACGACAACAAAAAGAAACCACAAAACAAAACGGTGCTGATTCTGGTGTGATTTTTGCTCACCACGTGAATATAAACTTAACAATTGTATAAAAAGAACAAAGTGATTTTAGTATAAAAATGCAGGAAAAAAAACAAAACTTTTTTTAAATTGTTAGTATTGTAGTGTGAATAAATTTGCCATCACCTTTTGTGTGGTGGCTGGGCAGGTCATTATCTTAATTTTTTTTTTGCATATATCTTTAAATACTGTAATTAGTGCAGTAACAAGTTTTTTTTTTTTTTTTGTTCATCTCTTCTAGAACATTCATAATGCCATCATGTTTATTATTATTATTTTTTCTGTTAATGTTTTTGACAGTTTTAAAGGAGCAGCCTTTTGGCTCTGATCATTTTCTTGTTCTGTTTTCAATGAAATCAATAAAAAAAAAAAGAAAAAAAGTGCTTTAAAAGGAGTTTGGCTTTTTTTTTTTGTCTGCTCTGGGGGAGAGATGGCCCAGGGTGGGCTTGAAAGTGAAGAAAACAACAAAAAAGAAACGCCCTCAAAGACACCCCTGTCCCTTCACATATCCAGACCATTTAACCACAGTTTAATTACAATAATACTCTTCAATATTGCATAATTAAACATTGTAATTAAAAGAATGTGCTTAAAATGAATGGGAGAAGTGGAAAACCCCCAGAGAAATCTAATTTCTGGGCCTGACTTGCCAAAGTCAGCATTTCCCTGGGGTGGAGGGTGGGGAGCACTCGAGGTTTGGGGGTCACAGGAGGGGGGTCCTGGGTCACCCCCAGCACTTTTGGGGGATTCCTTTGCTTTTCTGTGCAAATAACTGCACAGGAAATGAACACAGTTTGTATCCCAGCCCTTTTCCAGCGTTGGGGATGAGCTGGAAAAGGGATGTTTATTTTAACAATGGGTGTTTATTTTATTTTTGCAATGCCAGCAGGCCCCAGCTCAGGGATAGGGGAGTCCAAAAGCCAAAAGCCATCTCTTCCTGCTGCTCCCCCCAAAACAATCTGGTGTAGGTTTGAGGGGTCAGGAGTCAGGAAATGTGGGCAAAGCCACCTCAGCCACTCTGCTGACCCCACTCCACACGTGGCAGTGACTTATTGGGACACCTCGTTTGAAGGATGCACCGATTTTAATGTGAATTTTTTGCCCTGAAGCAAAATGAATTTAATGTCAATATTTGGCCCTGAACTGCTCCGTGCTCAGCCTGGCTGCCCGAGGTGCTGCAGCCCTGATTTTACTTTTGCTTGGGGAAAATTTCTTCCCTTTTAACACATTGGCAGCACCTGCTGCAGCCCTGGAGCAGCCAGGACTCTCTTGTGGCTCCAGATTTTGCTTTTCCTTTTATTGGCTCTGCTGAAGATGCAAAGCGACCTTCAATCCCTCATTGGCTTTTCCTGGAGATTTTGGCACTCTTTGGGATGTCCCCATGGTCCCAGGGAGTGGGACATGGTTGGATGCTGGATTTGGGTGCAGAGCTCAGGTGGGGTGTGGGGATAATTCCCACAGCATTCCCAACAGCATTCCCACCATCCCTGAGGATGGAGGGGGTTCCAGGGCAATCCCTGATTTCAGAGGGCTGGAGGAGAAATCACTTTCCTTCCATGCATGGAATATCCCTGCTCCTGTTCCCTCTCCAGGGACATCCCTGCTCCCATTCCTTCTCTCCCAGGGACATCTCTGCCCCTGTTCCTTCTCCAGGGAGATCCCTGCCCCTGTTCCTTCTCCCCCCCGATCCCCCCAGTGAAGGTCAGGATCCCCCAGGCCAAGGTGGGGTCCCAGTGGGTCTGCACTGAGCTGTGAGGGCCCTTTGTGGGGTTCTGCCCCCTCTCTCAGCTCAGGGGGCACAGTGGGGTGGGGTCACTCCCTGCAGGAGTGGCAGCTCAGGGGCTGGGGGTCCTTGTTGGGGTCGGGCTCCTCCAGGCACGGCTCCCTCCCCACTGCAGGGGAGCAGCACATGGGGTCTGTCCCCTGCCCCTGGATGGACATGGAAGGGTCACATCCAGCTCTGTGGGATCACAGGGCACTGCAAACCCTCTGCACACCGGGCTGGGGAGTTGTCCTGGCTCATCCCTCTGGGTGCTGATGGACAGGGGGTGTTAGAAAAGCACCCAAAGGCAGCACCCATCACCCTGGGCTGAGCCGGGTGAGCAAAGGCATCAAATTATCCTGGATGCTGGAGCTAATCTGGCTTCTCTTTATAGACTCCTTCCCTCTCTTTGTGCTGCTGTGACCTCATCTGAAGAGGAAATGTGAGCGAGGCTGATGGTTATCCTGCAGCCCAGGTAAGAGTTATAAAATCTCTATAAATGTGGAATTTCACCCCACGTCTCATTTCTGAGCCTTTGCCAGAGCTGGAAGAAATATTACTTTATCTCCCTGCTAGCACAGAATATTCCCTTGTCTGCTGAAGGAGCTCCCTTATCACCCTTTTAATTTCCTTTCTGGTGCTCCAAGCAGGATGAAAAGCCTCAGCTGCTGTCACTGGAGGCAGGGCAAGGCCTCGATGTCCTGGCTGTGAGAGAGAGAACCAGCCTGAGGTTCGAGTTCAGGCAGTGATGAGGGGACAGGAACTGGTGTCAGGGCAGGTCAGGCTCAGCCTCCCTGGCCCTTCCCCAGAAGGGCCTGAATGCCCAGAAAAAGCAAATATTGCTGGGTGCTGCCTGTGGGGGAAAATGTGCTTCACCTGGGGGGGGAGGCTGGACCAGCTCAGCCCCACACCTGAGCTTTTGCTCATCTCTGCCTTTTAATCTCTGTTTAACCAAAGTGAGACTCATTAAAGGGCTCAGCCCCTCAGGACTGGCTTAAGGATCTGCTGGGGCTCCCTCTTTGCTGGTGGCACTGGGGACACACAGAAAGTCTGGCTGGAGGTGCCTGTGTGCCATGGGGAGGGACAGCACCTGGGAATGGCACCTGGGAATGGCACCTGGGTCACCTCTGCCCTCCCTGCAGCACCAGAGGGACCCAGCAGCCCCCACAGCAAGGAAATGCCCTTGTGGCCAGGAAGTTTTTAATCCCTCGGTGCTCTCCAGCCCCCTGGGGGAGTGGAAGGAAGGAAGTTCAGGCACCAGGAGTGTCCCCACCACGTTACTGATCAGCACCAGCAAAGGTGGGGTTTGAGAAGCAGCTCCTCACCCTCCTTGCCCCTGGAGGTTTGCAGGGAGGTGGGATCAGGGTCCCAGACGTGCTCCAGCCCCAGGGCTGCCAGTGGAGCCAGCAGAGCCTGGTGTTGAGCTGGGATTAAATTCCCCATTACACAAAGTGTCCCAGCTGAGCTGGTGGGAGCAGGGCCTTGGCAAAGCCAGGCTTTGTTTAAACACTCAGAGCTCTGCACTCCAGCAAGGATGACAAGAGATTACATTAAAAAGGGCTGGTGTTTAACAGGGATCCATTTGCCAGCTTTGCTGGCTGCAGGGTCTGTGACTCTGCAGGAATAGACAGAGCTGGACAGGTGGATCCTCCCTGCCCCTCTGAGAGGGGTTTGCAAAAGCCAAAAACTCCTTTGCAAAGGATTCCTGTGAGCTCAGCAGAGCCTTGGGGATGAATTCATGTCCAGGAGGTGGCAGGGAGCTGTGGGCATGGCAGAGGTTGCATTCTGCTTTTGGGATGCTTTTTCCTTCCCCAAGGAAAGGGGGGTCAAGGGAAGTGCCACCCTCTAACCCTCTTTTCAGACAAATTTACCCCATTTCCAGCTCCTCTTCCAGGCCATAAACCCCCAGTGCTGGGGACTGGGGCCTGACCTGGG